TTTATAAGTAAATAAATTTTGAAATATATTCTTATGTTAAATACATTGCTCTCCCTACATATGGTAATCTCTAGGATGTAAGTTATCTAAATTTTCAAATGAATTCAAGATTATATATGAACATTTTTTCTCTAGTTTTACCTTACCTTCCTCTTTCTTGTCTGTTCTGTTCTGTCCTTGGTCCCATTCTTTTTACTATTTATACCTATCCTATTTCTGAGCTAGAACTCTTTTAGGCAATCAACAATTTCAAAATGAGAAATCAATAATAATATTGATAATAATAATAATAATAATAATAATAATAATAACGTTATTTTTACGGCCAACATTTCAAAATTCTTTGAGTTTTGGCGCCAATTCATCAAAAAAAAAATCAAATAACGGCCGTGACATTTTTTTTAATAACACTATCAATTCTTCCGAATGAAATGTTTTTTTGCTGACACAAACACATCAATAACATCAATAATAACAACAACAACGACATCAATAACATTAACAACAACGTCATAAGCGTCAATAACAACAACATCAATTACATCAATAACAGCAACAATAACATCAATAATAACAACAACGACATCAATAGCATTAACAACAACAACATCAAAAACATTAACAACAACATCAATAACATCAATAACATAGCTAACAACAAAGACAACAACATCAATAACATTAACAACAACATCGACAATAACATAACGAACATTTTCATCAAAAAAAACTAATTTTACTCAAATAGCAGATGTTTCGCTACATTTTTTCATTCATTCAATTATTCATTCTTTCATTTATATATTTGTTTTTATTTGTTCATTCATTCATTCATTCATTCATTCATACAGCCATTCATTCATTCATTCGTTTATTCATTCATTAAACCCTTCCATCATCTATTTACATTTTCATTCCTTCGGCCCATTTAATACATTTATTGATTTGATTACACATTCTTCATATGATTTGTTCATTCATTCATGTTTCAATTTTTTTATTCTTTTATTCATTTATTAATTTAGTAAATCAGTCAATCTTTAAAAATTTTTCTAGTTTTTTCTTCTTTTTTAAAACTTACGATTTAATCTTCAAATAAATTTTTGAAGGAATAATTCTCTCTCTTTTCTCCCTTTTATCTCCTCTTCTCTTTTCTCTTCTTTTCTCTCTCTCTCTTGCCCTCTCTTACTCTCTTTATTTTCACAAAATAAATTGGTGCTTTTTCTGTAGACTTGATGTTGTTTTGGTGGTGGTGGTGGTGGTGGTGGTAGTAGCGGTAGTAGTAGTAGTAGAAGTTGTAAGAATTATAGTAGCAGCAATACTAACACTATTGAATGTAGTGGTAATAATAATAGTAGTAGTTTATATTAAAAAGCGTTGTTGAAAACATTAAGACACACACACCGGCGCGCCACGCGCACGCACACACACATACACGCGCACTAACAATAAAACAAACAACACCAAAACAGCAACAGCAACATTATAACAATACTAACACGTTCCAAAGAACGGCCCAACCATCAATCAGTGACTGAAGATAATTTAAAAGTTATAAATTGTGCGGTCCATGAATAACGAAGTCACATGTAAGGTAATGGTATTTTGGGGTATGTACACGCGTATATAGATAGTAACAATACACTGTTGTACAAAAAACATCATACACGTGTTGACATATATATATACGCAAATGTGTGTGAGTTACGTACGTACGTATGTGTGTGTGTGTGTGTGTGTTTGTTTGTGTAATGTTTGTTTGTGTGTGTGTGTTTGTGTATGTGTATGTATGTGTGTGTGTGTGTGTTATGTTTGTGTGTGTATATGTGAGTGAGTGACATTTAAACTTACATACAATTTGAAACAAAACATCCTACGACAAAACAAACGTAAATATACTAACATACAAATAAGGTACACACGCACATACACACACATACTCATAACTTTCACACATACACAAACATGCATACAAACAAACAAACTTCCACGCACACACAAACAAACATACAAACAAACAAACATACATACAAACAAACAAACAAACAAACATACAAACAAACAAACAAACAAACAAACAAACAAAATAAACAACAAAGATTACCAAATCACATACCCTCAATTACGTTCCATACAAAAACAGTCATTAATATTAATCACTAACACTACGTGTTCCTTCGTTATAAATAATTAATCAGGTAAATGTACGTACAAATACAGAAAGATCAAAATGTTCGACTACATTGGTGTACAAATATGCAAATTATACCTTCTTTCACTAATGTATATATATAATATAAATTAATTGTAGAAATGATTGTATGTTTATTTGCTACAACTGTTTACGTGTTTATTGTGGTGTAATTATTACACACACATACACAAACACACACGTATATACGAATAAAAAAGAGTGAGAGAAGGAGGGAGAAAGAGAGAGGGAGAAAGAGAGAGGTGGGAGAAAGAGAGAGAAAGAAAGACAAGCACGAAGTAAAAAGATGAAAAAGTATGATGATGGGGACGGACAGTTTAAAGTAGATAGAGAAGAAACATGAAGGAGAGAGAGAGAGAGAGAAAGAGAGCGAAAGACAAAGAGAAAGACTGAGAAAGAAAGAAAAGAAGCGAAAGAAGTTAGGACATGGGAGTTATTTTAGTTAGAGTTGGAAGTTTGTACATATATGCTTATAAAACGAACAGGCAACATTCAATTTTGTAACTACTTCCTAACAATATATAAGAAAAACCTAAACCGCATATACATGTAGACATGCATAAATACACACATACATACATACACACACACGAGCACCACACACACACACACACGCACAAACACACAAACATACACACACGCACGTACACACTCACACAAACTCCACACGTAATTATACGTGAATTCTCAGGAACCCAGCCCACATTCGGCAAATAAAAACGTAAAAATTTACGATGATGAAGGAAAAATTAAGTGGGGGTGAATATAAAATGGAGATAGTGGTGAAAACCAAAGAGAGAGAAAGAAAGAAAACAGGGTGAGTGAATGAGTGGGAGAAAGAGAGAGAGAGAGAGACAAAGAGAGAGAGAGAGAGAGAGTAAGAAAATGATGGAATGACGAAAGATAAAAAGAAAAAATGTAATCAGAAAAAAATCAGAATACTGAAAAACAAATTGCATACATCAACATTTATCAACAGAACAATAAAACGAAGGAGAGAGGAAAGGAGAGTGAATAGGAGTGAAAGAAAGAAAGAAAATCAGAACTGGAAGCAAGAAGATGGAAAGAAAGAAAGAGAAAAGATGAAAAGAGAGAGAGAAGATGGAGAAAGAGAGAGGCGTTGAGCGGTTTTTTTCCAATAAATTACCAACCGCCCATTGGTTAGGTATTCCAGCCAACTATTAGCGTTTGAATTATTCATTAGCCTGTGACGTCACGTCATGAATATTAATAAGGTTCTGCGCTAGTAATTTAAATAATACTTTATTTCTGGATTTTAAATTTCCAATGGTTAGGGCGGGATTATTATAATTTTTATAAATTGATTGATTGGTTGGATGTTTGATCGATTGCTGTTCATCTATTAATTCATTTATTTGTTCATTCATTCATTCATTTGTTTTTCATTCATGCATTCGTTCACTCAATTATTCATTCATTGATTGGCTGGTTTCTCGAAATTAAAAATGTCATAAATTTATTTCCACAAAAATGAAACAAAATAATGCAGTGGTGTGGCGTGGCGTGGCGTGGCGCGGTGTGAGTCTGCGCTGGATTATGATGAGCAAGAATGAATTCATAAATTGTTCAATGTGCTAGGGGAGATAAAACAACCAGAGGCTGTATTTAACTACGACTACTACTATTAATACAACAACAACTACTACTACTACTGCTGCTGCTGCTGCTGTACTGCAAGTACTACAACTACTTTACCATTACTACATCAATTAATACTACTAGTATTATTACTACAATTGTTATTACAGCTTTTTATTTTGCTTACTTAGTTTTTTCCCCTCTTTTATTTGTTTCGATTTCTTTTAATCAAACTAACTTATGTCTTCAATGAAGAATATTTATGAAAATGTGTGACACACACACACACACACAACACAACATACCTGCATACATGAATATTAATTAACAGCATACAGACACACGCCTACATATTTGCATCTTCACACGCTGACAAATTAATTCGAGAATAACTAATGATGGAGGAGGATAGTTACGAATAGCCAGTTAAGCGCTACATAATTTGTTATAATTTGTCACGAAAAGTGAATTAAGGTAACGTCTGCCGGAAATATGAGAGTTCTTTGTCTCTGTGTTACGCATGAAAGTTATTCTATGCCGCTGAGTTTTCGTCGCGTCGTTAATGACGTCATTGTCGTCATCATTCTCATCCTAATCATTGTTATCATCACTATCTTTTTATTATTATTATTGTTATTATTATTGTTATTATTATTATTATTATTATTATTACTACTACTACTACATTACCATTATTATTATAATTAGAATTAGTTCTATGGGTAGGAGAGGAATGTAAAAGTGAGGAATGGTGGTAAACTTTTAGAAGGAATAAGTAGGAGGTGTGCAAATAAAGTATGCAAATGAGATAATAATAAGTAGGAGGTGTGCAAATGAGATTTCTTTAAAGTGATTGAAGAAAATGAAGAAAGAGAAAGTCTTTGAGTGTATAGTTGGCAGATAGTTAGAACTTTAGCTATGGCGAAGTACTGGCTAATACAATCTGATTTCCTTACTTTATATAATGTCCTTAAGAAAGATTATTGAGAGATAATTATTATTAAAGATAGATAAAAGGTAGGACAGTTGTTTCAAAATGAGATACAGAAAATTTGATAAGGGTTGATAAGTGAATTACAATATCATGGATAAATGTCGTATTTGAGAGATTACAAAAGAGCACAAACAACAAACCAAACAAACAAACAACAACGGCAAACAACCAAACTAAATCCCTTCCACCCCTCAGTTACTCCATCTTAATATCCTGCCAAGATAGCGGCCGACCAGCTCTGACGACAGAATCGCAACTGATCGTCAACGTGGCAGACGTCAACGACAATGCGCCACGCTTCGACAAGTCCGAATACAAAACGGAAGTTATGGAGAACCTGCCCCACGAAACACCCCTCATCAAGGTCAAGGCCTTTGACTCGGACACAGGGCAAAACGCTGTGGTCTTTTACTACATTCTATCTGAGTTGGCGCACACAAGTAGCAGCCACAATCGCAACGACGACGACGACGACAAAGCTACAGTCGATGTTAGTAGCAAAAGTGGGATAAACACACGCAAAGAGGGCGCCGATAGTGTAGAAAATATTTTTAATGTTTTTGCTGTGCCATTAAATCAGCAAAAACATCAACAACAATCTCAACAACAATCTCAACAGCATCAACAACAATCTCAACAGCAACCTTTATTCAACACCAATATTTCAACGTTATCATCATTCCACAGCAATAACGGTGACGTCAATGTCAACAATAACAACAACAACAACAACAACAACGTCGACAACAACAACAACAAATTCGAAGCCACTGCATTCACGATAGACAGCGTGACAGGCGAGATACGAACGAAAATTTCATTAAATCGCGAACTGTTCGACCACTACACGCTGACTGTGGCTGCCGTGGATCGCGGCCTTTCATCTCAATCCTCCATCACGTCCATCTTCATCAAAGTTCTTGATCAGAATGATGAGAGACCGAAGTTATTGCCAGGAAGCGAGGTGTTCAGGGTACGAGAGAACTCGAAAGTTCCGTTAGTAATTGGAAGAATTCGATTCGTTGATGAAGATGAACCGCCTTATAATCGTTTCGAAATCGAAATTGTCAAGAATGTTGTTGGAGGTAATTTTGAAAATGTTGAAAAATACAACAACAACAATAAACAACTGAAACGACAACAATTTTTTGTTTGGCAACAACAACAGTCAACATCGAACAACATGGCTTCAACTGAAAACAACTTCAACACATTTTTGTCTAGAGGCAACAACAACAATACCTCTCAGCAATATGCACAACAAAATTCATTTTTTTCATCATCAGCAGCAACGGCATCAACAAAACCCTACACAACAACAACAATCAACAAAATTTTTAGCATCAACTCAACATCCGGTGAGTTGATTCTATTAGAGCCACTGGACAGAGAGACCGAGGAGGAGTATCACGTGATTGTTGTCGCTCGTGACGTCAGCGATCGGAAGCTGGCAACCACCGCAACGACAACTATCATTGTACGTTTTTTCTTCATTATTTTGAAGTTTTAGATGTTGTTGTTGTCGTTGTCGTCGTCGTTATGTTGTTATTGTTTTTGTTGTTGTTGTTGACGTCATGACGAAGCAAATGTTAGTAATGGGGACGATTTTATTATAAATGAATAAATAAATATGTATGCGTTTGAGTGTGTGTATGTTTTTGGTTTTGTGCGTCTGTGTATATGTACGCAAACAAATTTTTTTCAAACTTTTATACGCACACTCACACACACACTCACACACACACACACACACACAAAAGTAGCCGTAACAGCAGCAGCGACAACAGCCACAGCAGCAGAAGGAACAACAAAACCAGTAAAGCATTGAAAACTCAATTTAGGAATGAAATATATCGTGTCGACCTGGCAGTCATCATTTATTTAAAAAGCAGAAGGAGAACAAAATATGAAGGACGAAATACCTCTTCTATTACTATTGTCGTTATTTGTTAAATTATTTTAATTCTCTGAATAAAAGTCAGTAATTCCGTGTTAATGTTTTAATTACTGCATGTAAATGCAGTAATTAAAACATTAATGAATTAAAATTTTTTCTTCAATATTTTTTAGAGGCGTCAACAAAAAAAACACACAGTGCACGTAGATACACATGTGAAACAACGCATCACACACATACACACACACACACACTGCATTTAAAAGCCGGGAATCGTTTTGTAATCGAATGCGGTCTCTGCAATAATAATGCCAGGCACTTTACCGCCACACCATCGCGTGAGTGTTGCAAAACCACATTCAAATGTTGGAGAGTAGTAAAATTACACCTTCTTTTTTTGGCCCTCAGCTGGCGGGTCGCAATGAAGGGTTTCGCCGCCAATAGACTGCTGATGGTTCACGAATTTCTTCCTTCACAATCCAATTTGCTCATTGCTGGATCATTTAAGATCTTCTCCTATCTGTTTCATCCATGTCTTTCTGTCTTGAATCTTTGAACTTTCCTAATAGTCTGGCCGACCACTGCAGAACAAATTGTGCGGTAGTAGTGTCCCGTTCACTCTGGAGTCATGGCCGGACCACTGGACACGCCGTTGCTCAATCATTTCTTCAGTGGCCAGTTGACTTGAACGAGTTTCTGTCTTGTAGTCAAAGTTGAAAATAAATTGAAAAATACGAATTTTGTTATTTGCATTATCAGACATAAATTTATCATACATTTTTATTGTTCTATTTATTTGCGCAATTTTTTCTGTGATTGATTGATCGATTAATTGAACGATCGGCCGAGATTATCTGATTGATTCGCGACATACGCTAATCATCATTCATTCACTCAAGTATTCCATCATCATCTATCCATCTATCACTCATTCGTTTGTTCGTTCATTTAGTAATTTATTTATTCATTCATTCTCTTTTACATTCATTCATTCATCCATTTATTCAATCATCCATTCATCCAAAACATCATTCTTCCTGTCATAAATCACAGAGTTGAACGTTTACAGTTATAACAATGTCCAAAGGGTCGTTTCGGTTCATTACATGCGCACAAACACACAACAATTGAATAGCGTAATGGCTAAGAGGTTTGGCATTAATGTTATAGTGACAAGGTTTGAATACAAAGAAATCTCCACTTATCACATCCAACGTGTTGATACATGGAATGGATATCTAACCAATACTACAATTAATAATACTTATACTGAATAAGTAACATCAAAATGACAGTTAACAACATACATAGTAATTTTGTGCAAGTTATTCTACTAAAATACTTCATTTAATACTTTCATGAAATTATTATTTCAGTTAATTTCGTTTGTTTTAGACAAAAAATTGCATTTCTAAATTGATCGAAGGACAATAAAGGCAATAACCAAACAAAAATAATTGTAATAGTGGTATTGGAAAAATAAAAAGAAGAATAAGAAGATGAAAAATAAGACTAATAACAATAATAACACCTGCAACTGTTTAAAGATACGTTTGAGTAAAAGTGTCACGAAAAAAAAACTAATAACGCTAACTTGATAATAAAAAATAGACTAAATAACTAATAACTATAAACTAGACAGCAGCAACAACTACAGCAAAAACATTAACAATAACATCAACAACAACAACACAAAAATGACATTAACAACAACAACAATAACAACAGCGACGACGACGACAATAACAACAACAGCAATAGTATTAGTAATTATACTGTCTTCCTTGTTAAAGTTATTGAATGATAAAACCTAGTTATTGCACAACCGTCTGTCAGTTTAGTATTATCACTACAGACTTTATCGTTAATACTACAGCTACTGCAGATGCTTCGACATACATTTTGTGTTGCCAATAACGCCGCTACTACTTCTACTACTACTACTACTACTACTACTACTACTAATTTTACTACTACTATTACTACTACTACTTATACTATGACAACTACTAAAATTACTACCACTTCTACTAGTATTATCACAGCCACTAATCCTATTTTTATAGTTACTTCTCTCAGTGGATTTTGATGCTGTAGCAGCAGCATTGGTGGTTGTGGTAGTGGTAATAGCAGCAAGAGTAGTAGTTGTAGCAACAAGCAATGCCGTAATTCAGTCACTCTCACGGAGATATAAAATTTTCTAAAAAAAAAACGAATTAAAAATTGGCGAGATTATTTTCAGAGCTCTGAGACAAACATTTCTTTCAAAAAAAAGACGCCTTCTTTCTGATAAACTTTGACAAGTGAAAAACATAAAAAGATACGAAAATAAATTTATTTTTCTATTATTACTAGCCTGGCTATTAATAGACTTTCTCTACTTACAATTGTAAAGGAAAAGTATAGCGAAATATTTATCCAAAAGTGGCTTGTTTTTAGTTGTAATATTTTTTCCAAACAGCTATAAAACAGAAGCAACAGCAGTAATTGTAGTAGAAGCTGCAGTAGCAGTAGTAGTGGTAGTAAAATTAGTAGTAGCAGTTGTAGTAATGATGTTTGTAGTAGTAGTATTAGTAATAGTAGTCGTAGTAGTAGTAGTAGTAACAGAAGTAATGGCCGTTGTAGTAGTGGCTGCACTAATACCTACACAGTTGCTTTTACTTCTGACCGCTATGAGCAGAGCATTATAACAACATTAAATAAAACGTGTAACAACTTGGGGATAAACATTCATCACCACATACATACATACATACATACATACATACATACATACAAACATACATACATACATACATACATACATACATACATACATACATACATACATACATACATACATACATACATACATACATACATACATACATACATACATACATACATACATACATACATACTTACTAACATACATACAAACATACAAACATACGTATAAATATATACAAACAAACATACAAAAACAAACTCACAGGAGTGGTGGTTTCATTGAGAGCAGAGCAATTTTAAAACATTCATCACACATACGGTGTATTCCACCAGGTCTCCAAACAAAGATTGCAAACATACATACATGCATGCATACATACATACATACATACATACATACATACATACATACATACATACATACATACATACATACATACATACGTACATACATACATACATACATACATACATTCATGCATACATGCATACATACATACATACATACATATTACATTTATCACATACTTTGTTACATTGCAAAACTCTTCTTTAAGAATTCAGTAAAATATTCAACCAGGTACAAAAAATGCATTCTTTAACACCCTTTAAAATATGATACCTCAAAAATACTCACCGAAATACCTGATGTACTATACCATACTCTTTTGTCATGTTAATTTTATTTTCTTGTGTTAGAAAAATTTTATTTCAGATATGTTTTACATGAATATAAAAATATAGAGTTTATTTCTGTCATAAAGTTGTATGAAAGCTGATAAAAATCGACAAACATGCAACATTAAAATTATTATTGTTTTTTGCCATGAATAAAATAGCCATGTATTTATTCTAATTCATTATTTATTCATTAATTGATTGATTCATTCATTCATTCATTTATTTATTTCTTAATTCATTCATTCTTTCATTCATTCATTCATTCATTCATTCATTTGTATATTCATTCATTCGTTTGTTATATCAATAGTTTAATTTTAAATTTATTCATTCATTTAATTATTCATTCATTCAATCAATCATTACTTCATTCATTCATTTTTTCATTGACTTATTCATTCTTTCGATCATAAAGGACAATAATAACAAGAGCTAAACCTCGTCAACAGCAACAACATACACGCCACAACAACATACACACACATCACAACAACAACACACATCACCATAACAACAAAACATCACCATAACAATAACAACAACACACAACCACAACAACGACACCACAGGTGGATGACGTCAACGACAACGCGCCATCTATCATCCACCCACAGCCCAACAGCCACCACAACCGCCGCCACCCACGCGGCCGCTTGTCGACCATCTACATGCCTTCAACCACGCCGGCCAATCACGTCGTGACCCAATTAAAATCACTTGACCTAGATATCGGCCAAAACGCTATGGTGACTTTTAATATCCGAAACATTTGGAGGTTTGGCAAGTTCCCTGATGTAACATCGGCCGAGAAAAGGTTTGCCAGGTGCATGAGGCAAAAAATGATGACCAGGAAGAGGAATAAATCAAATAAAATGTTGACGACCTCAAAAGTTATGACGTCAGCTATGACGACGACGACGATGACGACGACGATGATGATGATGATGAAACCGGAAATAAAAGGAAGCGATGCGCATGGAAAAAATAAAAACGTGCTTCCCACATCACGAGGCAGTAAAATGCTGAATGACGAGGACATAACTGAAGATGACGACGACGACGATGATGATGATGATGACTATGACGATGATGACGATGATGATGACGATGATGGCGATGATGTTAAAGAAGGGAAAGACAATGGGAGAGATAAACACGAAAAGGGCAAAATTGACAACAACAACATCAATAACAACAATAATAACAACAATAGTAAAGTTGGCGAATTTATTGGTAATTGTTTCAACGACGTTATCAGCGCCGGTGGTGCTGATGATGATGGCACTAACAAAGATGATGATGATGATGATGATGACGACAATGATGGT